AGGGAGGTAAAAAGTGGGTAACTATAGGCTGATTAGCCTAATATCCCTTGTTAGGAAAGCATTGGAATCAATCGTTAAGGAAGTAATAACAGGGCATTTGGAAAATTTAGCCTAATCAAGCAGAGTCAATGTGGTTTCATGAAAGGGAAATCATGTCTGATGAGTTTTCAGGAATTTTCAACAGTGTGGATAGAGGGGATCCCACAGATGTATTGTATTTGGACTTCCAAAAGGCATTCAACAACTTACCTCACAAAAGGTGAAGTCATAAGATAAGAGCGCATGGTATAGGAGGTGGTACAGTGGCTTGGATAGAGAATTGGTGAACGGAGAATTAGGATTCTTTTTCAGATTGGTGACCTGTAACCAATGGCTTTTCACAGAGAACAGTGCTGGGACCACAGCTGTTTGTGATATATATTAATGACTTGGAGGAAGGATGTGACTGTACTGTAGCCAAATTTGATAACCAATAAAAATAGGTGGAAAAGCAGTTTGCAAGAAGGATTCAAACAGTTTACAGACAAACCATAAGACCGTAAGATATAGGAGCGGAATTAGGCCATTCAGCCCATCGAGTCTGCGCCATCATTTGATCATGGCTGATTCATTTCTCAACTTCATTCTCCTGCCTTCTCCCCATAACCCTTAATCTTCTCAATGACTTGTCCTCCACAGCCTTCTGCAATAATGAGTTCCACAGATTCACCACCCTCTGGCTGAAGAAATTCCTCCCCATTTCTGTTCAAAAGGGTCGTCCCTTCAATCTGAGACCATGCCCTCAGATCCTAGTCTCTCCTACTTGTGGAAGCATCTTCTCCATGTCCACTCTATCCAGGCCTCTCAGTATTCTGTAAGTTTCAATGAAATCCCCCTCTCATCCATTAAACTCCATCGAGAACAAACCCAAAGACCTCAACTGCCCCTCATATCGCAAGCCCAATTTGGGAGGTGAAGTAAATGGGCAATAAGTTGGCAAATGGGTTACAATGTGGCAAAATGTGAAGTTGTTCATTTTGGAAGGGAGAACAAAAAGAACAATATTCGTTAAATGGAGAAAAACTGCAGAAAGCTGCAACAGAAAGGGACATGGGAGGACTTGTGTATGAAAGAGAAAGCTAGCACACAGGTATAGCAGGTAATCAGGAAGGCTAATGAAGTGGTGGCCCTTATTTCAGGGAGTTAGAGTATAAGAATAGGGAAGGCTTATCTCACCTGTACAAAGTGCTGGTGAGAACCCACCTGGAGTACTGTGAGCAGTTCTGATCCCCTTATTTCAGGAAAGATATCATTTCATTGGATGTAGTTTGCAGAAGGTTCACGAGGATGATCCCTGGAATTGTCTTTTGAGCAAAGGTTGGGCTGTATTCACTGGAGTTTAGAAGAATGAGAGGTGATCTCATTGCAACAAATAGGATTATTAAGGATCTTGACAGGGTAAATGCTGGGAGGATGTTTCCCCTCATGGGAGAGTCTAGGACCAAAGTGTGTAATCTCAGGATAAAGGGATACCAATTTAATACTGAGATGAAGAGGAATTTCTTTTTGGTTTAAGTGTCTTTGGAGTTCCTTGCCACAGAGAGCTGTGGGGGCAGAGTCCTTGTGTATATTTAAAGCTGAGCTAAATCGATTCTCGATCAGTCGGGGAATCAAGGGTTACGGAGAAAACACAAGAAAGTGGATGCGAGGCATGTCGGATCAGCCATGATCCAAATAAATGGTGGAGCAGGGTTGAAGGGCTGAACTGCCAACTCCTGTTCCTATTCCTTGTAGTCTTATAGGTTTGTAGCAACTATGAAAAGCTCAATCGGAAAATATCTGTGAACGCCGAGTGAAATGCAGAATTGACCCAGTTGTCATGTTCGCCTAGTCTAAGAGTCCATTAACATTCATTGTGCTCTGCTACAGCTCAACCCCTTGCCCTTGCCTTTTTGGGTTTAAAATTCCTATGCTAGCTTCTGAAATGGGATTTGGACACACAGACATCTGGTTCAGACACAAGCATTCTACACAGAGCTAAAGCTAACATGAGAAAGTCTTTGCTCTCCATGTCAATGTTCACTATGTTGGCGTAAAATGTTCTGATCATTACACCCTTGGTTAGAGACAAAAAATACTACAGATGCTGGAATCTAAGGTGGACAAACAGGAGGCTGGAAGAACACAGCAGGCCAGGCAGCATCAAGAGGAAAGGAGCAGTCAATGTTTCAGGCATTACCCTTCTTCAGGAACCCAAAACTTACACTTCTCCTTTCCTCCCGATGCTGCCTGGTTTGCTGTGTGCTTCCAGCCTCCTGTTGACCATTATACTCTGCCTGGCTCTTCACCTGATCATTTGGGATAAACACAAGCGGGTTCTGCTCTGATTGCAGAGAAACAGAAACTAAAAGTTGCCACATTTATCTCCTGAGACAACAAGGTGCAGGGCTGGATGAACACAGCAGGCCAAGCAGCATCATAGGAGCAGAAAGGCTGACGTTTCGGGCCTAGACCTTTCATCAGAAAAGAGGGAGGGGAAGGGGGTTCTGAAATAAATAGGGAGAGAGTGGGAGGCGGATAGAAGATGGATAGAGGAGAGGATAGGTGGAGAGGAAACAAACAGGTCGAAGAGGTGGGGATGGAGCCAGTAAAGGTGAGTGTAGGTAGGGAGTTAGGGAGGAGATAGGTCAGTCCAGGGAGGACGGACACGTCAAGGGGGCCGGATGAGGTTAGTCGGTAGGAGATGGGGGTGCGACTTGAGGTGGGAGGAGGGGATAGGTGGGAGGAAGAACAGGTTAGGAAGGCGGGGACGAGCTGGACTGGTTTTGGGATGCGATAGGGGGAGGGGAGATTTTGAAGCTTGTGAAATCCACATCTTATTGCGTGGACGGGGTGTGAGGGATGAGTTGCGGGAGATGTGGGAAACACAGTTGAGGGCGTTCTCGACCACCGAGGGGGGGAAGTTACGGTCCTTGAAAAACGAGGACAACTGAGATGTACGGGAGTGGAATGCCTCATCCTGGGAGCAGATGCGGCGGAGACAAAGGAATTGGGAATAAGGGATAGCATTTTCGCAGGAAGGTGGGTGGGAGGAGGAGTATTCTAGGTAGCTGTGGGAGTCGGTGGGCTTGAAATGAATATCGGTTTCTAGGTGGTTGCCCGATATGGAGACAGAGAGGTCCAGGAAGGGGAGAGAGGTATTAGAGATGGTCCAGGTAAACTTAAGGTTGGGGTGGAAGGTGTTAGTGAAGTGGATGAACTGTTCGAGCTCCTCATGGGAGCACGAGGCGGCCAAAAAAGAATCCCCCTCGTCCTCACTTACCACCCACCAACCTCCGGATCCAACGCATCATCCTCCGACACTTCCGCCATCTGCAATCTGACCCCACCACCAAAGACATCTTTCCCTCCCCACCCTTATCTGCTTTCCGGAGGGACCACTCTCTCCGTGACTCCCTTGTCCGCTCCACAATCCCCTCCAGCTCCACCACACCCGGCACTTTTCCCTGCAACCGCAGGAAGTGCTACACCTGCCTCACCCCCATCCCAGGCCCCAAGAAGACTTTCCACATCAAGCAGATGTTCACCTGCACATCTGCCAATGTGGTATACTGCATCCGCTGTACCCGGTGTGGCTTCCTCTACATCGGGGAAACCAAGCGGAGACTCGGGGACCGCTTTGCAGAACACCTACGCTCGGTTCGCAATAAACAACTGCACCTCCCAGTCGCGAACCATTTCAACTCCCCCTCCCATTCCTCAGACGACATGTCCATCCTGGGCCTCCTGCAGTGCCACAACGATGCCACCTGAAGGTTGCAGGAACAGCAACTCATATTCCACTTGGGAACCCTGCAGCCCAATGGTATCAATCTGGATTTCACAAGCTTCAAAATCTCCCCTCCCCCTACCGCATCCCAAAACCAGTCCAGCTCGTCCCCGCCTCCCTAACCTGTTCTTCCTCCCACCTATCCCCTCCTCCCACCTCAAGCCGCACCCCCATCTCCTACCGACTAACCTCATCCCGCTCCCTTGACCTGTCCGTCCTCCCTGGACTGACCTATCCCCTCCCTAACTCCCCACCTACGCTCACCTTTACTGGCTCCATCCCCACCTTCGACCTGTTTGTTTCTTCTCCACCTATCCTCTCCTCTATCCATCTTCTATCCGCCTCCCACTCTCTCCCTATTTATTTCAGAACCCCCTTCCCCTCCCTCTTTTCTGATGAAAGGTCTAGGCCCGAAACGTCAGCCTTTCTGCTCCTATGATGCTGCTTGGCCTGCTGTGTTCATCCAGCCCTGCACCTTGTTGTCTCGGATTCTCCAGCATCTGCAGTTCCTACTGTCTCTGATTCACATTTATCTCCTGCACAGTTTCTTTAGTGACAACTTTGCAACTATCAAATGGAAATATTACAAGATTGCGTGTCTTTGCAATGATACCATTTGTAATGCGCTCTGATCACTGAAAATCCCTGCACAATGGTGACACAGGTCTGGGTAATGTTAATTTTAGGCTTTAATTGGAATAACATAATGCTACAAAAGCATATTAAATGAAACAGCATAAGAACCTTGAGATCATTTAGACCAAAATATGTAGGTTATGGATCAAACATATAAGTGTTTCATATCATCGTATAAGATTTGTCACATAGTAATCAATTTGATTTTATTCACGGAATTCACACACCTATAACACATTGCTTTGCTTCATCAGACGCATGAGCCAACTTTGTGCAGAATACGAACGTAAAACTTCTCATAAGCCAACATTTTCCTTGCCACCAGCAAATTCTGAGGAAAGGTCACTCGACCTGAAATGTTAACTCTGATTTCTCTCCACAGATGCTACGAGAGACTTGCTGAGCTCTCCCAGCAATTTCTGTTTTTGTTCCTGATTTATAGCAGTTCTTTCAGCTTTTAATTGCGTTTCTTGCAATTTTTAGACTGTATCAAGGTTTTGCCTACTGCAGTAACAGATGTTACATTACCACATCCTTCTCTTTTTCTGCATTACAGGGATGGATGAATGAAATCTATAACTACGATCCTGAGACTTACCATCTGTCACTGACTTTCTCAGTCTATGTGACACTAGAGGGGACAGCACTGAGGCTGTCGTACCCAAGGAGTAATATCCCTCGCCGTGCATACTTCGATGAAGGCAAACATGATATGGTGTTCATCAGCCATCGCTCCTGTGACCTAGCAGACAGCAAGGTGGGTGAGAATATCCCATCTGAATGAAGGCCTCCACTTTCCTAAAAGGTCTGGTGTGTACCGGCTGTTATTTCTTGGCATTTAGAACCTTTAATCTGCTTGCTAAATGGCACAAAGTACCCTAAAACTTGTGTTTGTAAAAGCAAGGATGAAACATCCAAACTGGTGCAAGCCACTCTTTCTTATTGACAAAGTCATCACGTGCTCTCACACACACACACACACACACACCCACACCCAAATACACACACACACACACACACACACACACACACACACACACACACAAACACATACACACACACACACACACACACAGATACATACAACTCTCCTTGTGACTTTTACCCTGTCTCCCCAATGCAATTATCTCATTGAGTCTCTCTTCCTTATCCTTTAAGATGCTCCTTCAAACGTAGCTCTCTGACCAAGCTTGTGGTCATTTACCTTAATGTTCCCTTGCAGGGTTAATGTCGCATTTTGATTGCTTTCCTTTCAATATACCAGCAGTGAGCTGTTATAATCTGGAGTACACTGCCTGCGAAGGTGGTGGAAGCAGGCTCAACAGTGAACTTTGCAAAAGATGTCTATTTGTAAAGATAATATTTCCCAAACTGCTGAGTGAGAGTAACGGAGTGGGATGACTTGCACAGTCCTTTCAATAAGCAAGGAGTAAGTAACACTATGGAACGTGCTATCACAAGCTCCAACAAGGAAAAAAATATTTTCAGGATCAGGGGTAGAAAGACAGAGAAGTTGGACTAATTGATTTGCTCTTGCAATGGCCCTCCCTACCATGTTACTGTTCTTATCTAGCTTCTTTTTTAATGCTGTATGTCTCAACTACTCCTTCTGTTAGCAGGTTTACATCCAAGTCATTGGGCAAATGCTTCTCATGAGCTCCTTTTTGTTGTGAGATGTGTGGGGCCAGTTTTATTGCCCATCCCTCATTAATGTCAAAAGTCAATCTCATCACTTTGGTCTAGACTCACATATAGGCCAGACCAGTTAGGGAAGGACACTGGTGAAGCAGACAGGTTTGAATAATAATCCACCATGATTATATGGTCTCCACAAAGTCAGTACATTTTATAATTCCCAATTTTTTTGCCATTGTGGAGATTCGAACCCATATTCCCCGTGTGGTACTGGGTTATTAGTCGAGTAGCATTTGGACTATGCCACCACCTCGCCTGCATTTGTGGTTCCTGGTTTTATCCCAAAGTGTAGGAAAGTAGAACATAGTACCTTGAGGATGCCATTTGGCCCATCGATACAGTTCTGCCATTATGAGGTCCTAACTGATCTGGTTATAGTCTCAACTCCACATAACCAATGCCCCTCCCATAACCTTTGACTCCTGTGTCTATCAAAAATCTATCTTACTCAGCCTTGGGTAAAGCCTCTACTGTTTTCTGTGGGGGAGTCAGGAGATGAATTCCACAAATGAACAACCCTCTGCGAGAAATAAAATTCTCTATCTTAAAAGCAAGACCATTTTTTCTTAATCCATGTACCCTAGTTCCAGTCTCTCCTACAAGGGGAAACATCCTTTCACATTCGCTCTGTCAAGTCCATAGATCCTTCTCCTTAATTCCAATGGATAAAAACCCAACTAGAGTCACTATTGTTGCCTTGTCATAGGTTCTTCCGTTGTTTAAACAATTTGGTCAGACCCATGATAGAGCATGTTCTGCATGGACTTCCGAAGAAATGGGCTTGGTGTATTAAAATGGCTCTTTTATCTTGTTATTTTGCCGGCAGATTTTTCTCGTCCCACCAGGCCTGGCAAAGAAAAGGATGTGGAATAAGAAGTACCCCATCTGTATTTTCCTCAGAGAGGCTGTGCCCTACAAATTCAAATGCTCCGGAGACAGAGAGGTGAAGGCAGACAGGGACACTGACGGGCAAAGGGACAGGCCAGAAAGCACACTGACACCAGAGGATCTCCTCAGACATCATGCAGAAAGTGGGGAAAATACACTCTTCCTCTTTGGAAGGACAGGAAGGGAGAAAGAAGAATGGTTCAGATATTTCCTGCTGGCTTCCAGGATGCAGTCAGAGGACAAGAAGAGCCTCAGCAGAGATGGTGGGAAAGCTGGTAATAAACCTCATGTTGCTGTCCTTTGAGCAGTAACAAGAATTCCTGGTTCAACTACTTTGCAGTTCTGGGACCCCTCACCTTAACAACCTGTGAAAGAGCGCACTGTTGATTGATTAGAATGTTACCTGGATGCTAAAAGGGTCTGAGAGATTAGAAGGAGGTTAGAAGGTTAAGGGTTGGTTTGATTATAGTTTGCAAGATGGTAAGCAGATCGCATATTGATTGGGAGAAGCTATCCCTGATAACTGGGGAGTTTAGGACTTGAGGGCAGCGTCTGAAAAGTAGGACACAGAAGTGAAATGAGGAAATATGTCCACATACAAAGGGGAGTAGAAGTTGGGATCTCTCTTCCCTACTATGGAAAGGTGATGGCCTAGTGCTATTACTGCTAGACTATTAATCCAGAGACTCTAGTAATGTTCTGGGGACCTGGGTTCAAATCCTGCCGTGATAAGTGATGGAATTTGAATTCAATAAGTATCTGGAACTAAAAGTCTCATGATATCCATGGAAACCATCGCTGATTGTCAGGAAAAACCCATCAGGTTCACTAATGTCCTTTAGGGAAGAAAGCTGCCTGGTCTGGCCTACAGCAATGTGGTTGACTATTAATGCAGTTAAGGATGGCTAATAAATGCTGATCTGACCAGTGATACCAGCATCCTGTGAATGAATGAAAAAAAATGGCAATTGTGGTTCGATCAATTGTTAATTTTAGAGCTGGCTATTGTTAACTAATGGTTTAAGGGCTTTTGAGCAAAATCTGACATGAGGTCACAGTTCAATCAGTCAGCATGCAGAATTGCGATCTTCCCTGGTCCACAACAAGTAGACCATTTTGTCTTTAGGCAATGCCTAGCTGACTTCAATTAAACATGAATATGAGGAGAAGTGAGTCACACCTTTGCCCCAAATTAAAGTTACACCACAAGACTGCAGTTGGGGGAACTGAGACACTTGAAGTTTAAGGCTTGTATTGCCAATTAAACTTTCCAATCTATTTTACAGGTACTACACAGAATCCCAGCGCTAGCCCATTGGGGAGATTGGCTTACAACGACAGCAGCGGCAGAAGCAGTGCAGAAGATCTCCCGTCCCTTTTCAAAACCAAAGACTTGGCTGGAAACATCAAGCAAAAGATTCAGCTGGAGTACAGCACATACATGGCAAAGTTCACTGTTTCAGACAACTGCAGCCCTTGTCCGAGCCCTGAACATAGTACAACCAACAGCCCAATCAAGGGCCAGGTAAGACAAGGGGGAAATAAATCAAGCAACTGGGTACATGGCCCTGTGGAGATAAATGATCATTATGTTTGTGACGTACACAGAACTTGCATATTAAGTCTGTAGGGTTACAGACAATACCTTTTCTCTGCTGTATCACTGTGATATTGCAGATCTTCTACCACACTAGTCTTTGTCAGAATATTTTATCAAATGGATGATGTGCAGAACAAATCTGCACATTGATTATAAATTCCACTCACCTCCAATTTCTTTATATTCACTGGTGGGATGTGTTTGTCCATGGCTGGGCCAGCATTTTATTACCCATTTGCTAGTTGTCCTTGAGAGGTGGTAGTGAGCTGCCTTCTTGAACTGCTGCAGGCCCTGTGGTTGGAGAGGGAGCTTAAGGATTTTTGACCCAGCAACAGTGAAAGAATGCCAATATCTTTCTATATAAAGGCAAAATACCATGGATGCGGGAAGTCTGAAATAAAAACAGAAAATTGCTGGAGAAACTCAGCAGATCTGGCAGCATCTGTGGAGAGAGAAACAGAGTTGACATATTGAGTCCAGTGGCACTCTTCTTCAGTACTGCAATTTTCTGTTTTTATTTTAGGTCATATTTTTCCAAGTCAGGGTAGTGCGTGGTCTGGAGGGGAACTTGCAGATAGTCTTGTTCCCATGTATCTGCTGCCCTTGTCCTTCTAGATGGAAGATATCATGGGGTAGGAAGGTGCTGCCTGAGGAGCTTTGGTGAATTTCTGCAGTGCATTTTGTAGATAGTACACACTGCTGCTACTGAGCGTCGGTGGTGGAGGGAGTGGATGTTTGTGGATGTAGCGCCAATCAATCGGGCTGCTTTGTCCTGGATGGTGTCAAACTTCTTCTGTTGGAGCTGTACTCATCCAGGCAAGTGGGGAGTATTCCATCACACTCCTCACTTGTACCTTGGACAGGCTGTGGGGAGTCAGGAGGTAAATTATTCTTTGAAGATTCCTTCTTGTGACGTGCTCCTTGTAGCAGTATCTGTGTCTGATCAATGGTAATCCCCAGGGTGTTGATAGTGGAGCAATCAGAGATGGTAATGCCATTGAATGTCAAGGGATGATTGTTATATTTCTCCAGTTGGAAGTGGTCATCGCCTAACACTTTCATGATGTAAATATTACTCAAGACCCAAGAAAATTAGAAGTCGCACAACACCAGGTTATAGCCCAACAGCTTTATTTGAAATCACAAGCTTTTGAAACACTGCTCCTTTCTGTGAAGGCTCGTGATTTCAAATAAACCTGTTGGACTATAATTTGGTGTCATGTGACTCCTGACTTTGTCCAACCCGGTCCAACACCGGCAGTTCCACATCAAGAAAATTAAATAAGCATTTACGGTAATAGTTTAAAATCTTCTAAAGCGTATCCCTCACACCGACATTCATCCCTAGATGTCACCATACCAATGCAATGGGAGTGTTTTTACATTGCTGAGTCAGCCATAACTTTATTACAAATAAACCTTAAGGTATGTTTAGAATATTTGGAAGAAAAACATGCTTTCTATGCTGCATTATGAGAGTATTTATTTATTATTCCTAAGTTTTATAGAAACTGCAGTAGTTCAAGATGACAGTTCACCATCACCTTCTCAACTAGGGACGGGCAATAAATGCTGGCCTAGCCACATCCCACAAGTTAGTATAAATTAACTGTGTGAGAGATTACAGTAACAGGGAAAACCTGCTTTTGTCTCTCCCTTGATCCTATTCTGATCACCAGAAGAATGTCTTGCATTTACTCTATTCCTCTATTTTCCTTTCCTCTGTGGAAAGGTGCCTCATTTTCAAGCAGACCCTCTCAAAACAAAGTGTTGAACTTTAAGCCTACCCCTGTTTTGGGATCAGGAGAGATGGAATCTGAACTGTGCCCACCTCCAACCTGATGCCATCTGGTGGATTTTGTTTTTATTCATTCCTGGGATGAGGGCATCACTGGTTAGCCCAGCATTTATTGCCCAGGGGTCTGTTAAGAATCAACCACGTCTGGAGTCACGTAGGCCAGACAGGGTAAAGACAGCAGTTTCCTTCCCTAAAGGACATTAGTAAACAAGATGGGTTTTTCTTTTTGACAATCAACAGTGGATTTGTGGTCATCATTGGACTCTTAATTCCAGATTTTTTTTTTATTGAATTCAAATCTCACCATCTGCCATTGGCAGGATTTGAACCCAGGTCCCTAGAACATTACCAGGGTCTCCAGAGTAACATGTTCAAGAGGCAGACTGCCCTCTCCTAGGAAACATGTTGGCTGGTGATTGTTTAATGAGACCATTGCCTTCAGATTTAACCTTTTGTAGAGGTTTGAAGTTAATGGGTTGGATTTCCCAAGTTTCAGGAAACCAGACAGCCAAAGGGAGGCTAAAAGACACATCTGGGGAGAAGGAAAGTGTTTTACCAGTACTGCTTGTGGCCTTGGAGAACCAAGAGTGTCTCCTTCCAGCTCTTGCCCCACAAGCCTGCTTTCCTGCTCAGACTGAACAGTCTCATATCAAGCTCTACCACATCCCCAACTAAATAAAGATCCCTTCACACAGGCATCACTATCTGGGCTTTAATCTCTAGAATTTCCTCTAGGAATCTCTCCATTTCTCTCTCTCCTCCTTTGCATTGTGTTAAAAGACATTTCTTTGCCCAGCTCTACTGTCTACCTTCTTTGGTCTAATGCCAATTTGTTCAATTCTATGAAGCAGTTTGAAATGTTGTTGTCCGCTGCAGCTATAATTGTAACCCTTTTATTGCTCTTGTTATAGAATGATGTATTGACTGGTTCACAATCCGACACGTCACAGTATGAATGCTTCCATGGTCTCCTGGCACCCTAACACAAGCCAGTGAGTGCGATAGTCTTTGTGCCAACATGGTGAGGGAGACATTATGGGTTCCTGTAATCTAAACGAGAGGAGACCATGTAACAATAAAGGCCCTGAGTTTGTTTAGAAGCTGAGACAGTGCCTTCCAAACCAAGACCACTTCCATCTAGAAGGACAAGGGCAGCAGATACATGGGAACACCACCACCTGCAAGTTCCCCTCCAAGCCACTCATGATCCTGACTTTGGAAATATATCATCATTCCTTCACTGTCGCTGGGTCAGACTCCTTCCCCAACAGCATTGGGGGGTGGTTAACCTACAGCAGGAGGACTGCAGGCCTTCCAGAAGGCAGCTCACCATCACCTTCTCAAGGGCAACTAGGGACGGGCAATAAATGCTGGCCAGCCAGCGACACCCACATGCCATGAGTAAGGCTTAAAAAAATGCAGTTGGGCATTTCCCAGGCCACGGAGCTGAGTTCCAGTCTCCAATGACTGGGACTATCTGGAATGGGATCAGATGCTGGACTGTACTCTCACCAAAAAGAATCACCTTGCTCAAACATCAATGATCAATGTGGTTTGACATTGGATCCTCTGTGTAGTTATCTGTCACTCCAATGCTTGGGGTACCAGACTATGAAAGCTAATAATGACAGTATTAGTCTTTTCTTGCTAAGACTACTGCAGGTTGCTAGGTTTTTGGGTTATTGCCTAGCAACCCACTAGGAAATAATAATAAAGCACTCTGAAGCAAGTTCAAGTGAAGTGATTGTAGTAAAACCAGTAACGAGAACTATATTTAGCTCTAAGCATACGAGGGTTAAGGATCTACCATTCCCCAAACATAGCAGATTAGTGAGGCAGATCTTTTTAATATAGTGCACATCCAGGACAGTATGGAGATAGGAGGAGACATAAACCATTTTGTCTCTTGAAATACCATTTGCTCCACATTCCTTAATAGCTTTGGTTATCTATCAGTCTCAGTTTTATCATTAACAATTGAACCATCATCAACTGCAGATAGCTGAGTGACACTTAAGAGTATAGAACAGTTCCTAATCCTTACAGGAATGTCTCTTTTTCCCTCCAGAGTTTTGCTTTGCTTCCTTTGTAGATGGACTGTTTCTAGCTTGGATCAGGTGGTTCTTCATTTTTGGAACCACAGCAGTGCAGATATGAAGGGGAGACAGCTAATGACAGTGACCCACCCTAGGATCTTCAGTCATTGGGAAATAGGTGAGGGCAAGGAAATAAACCATTCTGGCAGGATCCCAGATCAACTGATCCAGTGTTAGCTGTGAAACAGTGAACGAGGCAACAGGTTGTGCACAGACTGCAATTAGAATATTCGACAGCAGACAGAAAGCTTTGACCAAGCATATTCATCCAGATATTGAACTAATACAAGGTTGTAGGCCTCCTATTTTTTATTATTTTATTAATTATCGAATCGACAGGTAGAGATTGTACCATTTCAAACTTGGAGAAGGACAGTGAATCTGCTAAGGGACAGGAAGTAAGATGAGACTTGGCCAGGAGCTGTACAGAGTGGAATTGCTGATCAACATAAGCAACTTGGCTTCAGAGCAGCCATTTTCATTTCAATTGGATTCAATTTGGCAGATCAGCGAAGGATGACGTTGCTCTGCTGAAGCAGCCAAGCAGCACCAGTGAAACTTAAGTCGCATTATAACAGACAGGGGGATTCGGTATCGATAAGCTAAAACACAAGTGGGCCAAGGGATGCATGCAGACTCCCTCAAGGCAGGTTACAGGAGGGAATAAAAGAATTGTAGGGAACGTTTGTTCTGCAATCTGCTTATTCTTGAGTTCACTGCTGATGGACAGGTCCAACCTACAGAACTGCAAACCCCATCTCAGTGGCGCAAAGAGACTGGTCCCAGATCCACCGCAATCACAAGACGGATCTGATCTTGGAATCCACACAAGCTGTCCCCTCAAGGAATTCTGAATTGTGACATCGTGCAGACATGGAATAGCCTGGAACTAAGGATAGTAATGGTTGAGGCTCCAATTTCTCTCCACATAGCTGACCAGGAATCTTTTAGCACCTGCCATTGAGGAATATTGGAAGGATTCATAAATTGATGCCCAACCTGTCTGCCCACATTTCCTTGGCCACCAATGT